GGAGCTTTCTGCCCCAGTTCCAGCTCCTGTCACAGACTGGAAGGGGCTGTAGAAGAATCCTTAGCTCCTGGGAGTGGGTCCCAGTCATTGGGTCCAGTCACTCGAAGTGATGTGTGTCACCGCCTCCTCTTCCTGCCCCTAATTGCAGCCCTCTTCTTCTTACCCTGTGTCCTCTAGGACCCACCTCCAGGACCTCAAGGAAGTGACACACAACATCCACTATGAGACTTACAGGGCCAAGCGGCTCAATGACAATGGAGGCCTCCCTCCGGTGAGCGTGGACACAGAGGAAAGCCACGACAGTAACCCATGACGACCACTTCTCTGTGTCATCACACATACCCACTTCACACACACACATCCCAAATACCACCACCAACCACCTTCTTCCTCTCAACTCTGTCCCGCAGGCAGGCCTGTCTGGTATTTGTGGAGCATCTTGTCTACATTGTGTGTGTGTGTGTGTGTGTGTGTGTGTGTGTGTGTGTGTGTGTGTGAAAGAGAGAGCGAGAGAGCCTGTGTGTGTGCATGCAGGGGTGAGGTATTTTCACTGCCCTCCCTGGAGAGTCCCTTGTAAGTTTGGCTCCTCCATGCCTGTCCATTATCTGTCTCCTTTCCTTGTGTCCCAAAACAAAGCTGTTTTGCCTCACTCAGGAGATCTCGGGGAGGTTTCATTTAAAAGTGTTGGGAGCAGGTGAGCCACAGGCAACTCTTCTCTCGGAACCTGCACACAATCTGGGGCTATAGAGATTCTCCAAGGACAGATGGCAGCGGAACTAGACCTGAGTAGGGGGCAGGGAGTTCAGGACAACCCTACCTATAAGTGGGGGGTGGTCTGGAGGTAAGGCAGGGGCCTCCTGGGACAAGAAAGGCCATGAGAAGGCAGAGAAGTAGGCCAGAGCTGGGTTCTTGCAGAAAGCATCAGTGCCTACAAGTGGAGCTCCACCCTTCACTCTGTGTCGTGTTCACTGTCCCAAAGCTACCACCTGTCACCAGAGCCTACTGCTGCTCTCCACTCACCTGGCCTCTGCTGCCGGGTCAGTGCCTGTCTCTGCTTCCCACTCTGTCTTCTTTCTCCCTTTCCCTCCTTCCCTCATACACTGCTTTCTCTCCCTCTCTCCTGCCTGTCTCTGACATCTCTCACTTCCTTTTAGATGAATCTACTTTAGGTTCATTTCTATATTTAGCATTTATGCCCAGTCTGCTTCCAGAAATGACTTTAGGCTGCCTTCACATAAAATCACAAAAGTACAGGACAGTATAAACTGAGATTGCCAGAGAAATCTGGGGCAAAGAAAGGAATAGGAAAGAAAGTTTCTGTAGTCAAGCACTGGAACAGGCCCTGAGCTCATAGGCAGCCAGTGCAAAGAGGGAAACACAGTGAGTTATGCAGTTCCCAGTGTCTAGTTAAAGGAAGCGCACATGCTAGTCACGTGAGACAACCTTTTATGGGGACATCAGATACTAGAACTAATTCTAAAGAAGTATCAGAAACAATATACATTATTTGTCTTTCTTAGTGATTTGGCTTCAAAGACAGAATTTTGACCACACCTCCCTTTTCTCTGTCAGACTTCTCTCCCTTCTAAGCAGGCTTCTCTGTTGCTCCATTTGCCTCATACATACTTGACCTCTCTTTTCAATTCCCCATCACTTTTGTGCTGAAGCTAATTACATTTATGTCTGTCTTTCTCTGCTTTTCCCTAATTCCCTCTCCTCCCGACTCCTATAGACATTCCCAATGATACCCACCCTCATACATTTAGGTTTTTCTTGCCTTTCCCTGAAGCCCTATATTTATTAATGCATATATTTTCCCCATTTGTTTTACAAGTAAGTTACTCTTTTCCTTTAATCTGTAAGATTCATGAAATTTGGGGCCGGGGAAACAATTTAGCCTTAGGAACGGGAAAACACCAAGTGAAACTGTTTACAATAACCTCATACAACCTCCTGTCCCATTTCCTGGTTCAGCCTAGGTGTTTCACTGGTCCTCTACGAATCCCAGCACTTATAATCCCAGTCTTTTATCACTCAGGTGCTAGGAAAAAACATAGACTCAAGACCCAAGATTCAGTGGACCAGGAGAAAGGTGGGGGGTGGTCAGGTCACTGGTGACCCCAAACCTATGGTCTCGATCTTTCCTGGAGGCTGCCAACCCAGCCCTCATCCTCCCTTGCTCACAAAGTTACAGGGTAGGCACCTGTCAGGATAGAACAGCAGCAGTGCTACAGCCCAGAGGTTACTACACTTCAACAGAACAGGGATCCTTGGCTGCTATAGAAGCAGTCCTGTTTGGAGACCTTGGACCAGCAGGGGAAGATCTATGGGCATGGGAGGTGGGCGTTGGAGAGGCTGAGTAGGAATGGTGCCTGGCACCCCTGAACCATAATCTCAGCCTCCCTGGAGAAGCTATTTTATATGTCTTCTGCCAGCTGCTGGTCTCCACACCCTCAACCGTTCTCAACCCCCCTGCAGGGAGAAGGCCTCCTGGGCACTGTCCTTCCACCTGTGCCAGCCACCCCCTGCCCCACTGCTGAATGAAGTCCATTTCAAGCGCTGCTTCTCCCTCCATTCCTCTCAGCTGTTATTGCTTCAGGGCCAGGCCCTTTTTAGTGCTGTGCTCGTCCAGCTCACCACCACAGCCCCTCTCAGCCCTCAGTAGGTGGGAGGGGCCAGCTGCCTCTTTAGGACAGTTGCATCTTCCATTTATCCAAACCACTCCTCTCCTCCCAGTGGAGTGGGGTTCTGCCAGCACTGCCCTACCACATCATCTGTGTCAGCCGGTCCCAGCCCATCTGCAAGGCGAAAGAACTCATTAAGAGTTTCTTCTGCCCTTGTAAGCCCATCCCAGCTACTTGTAACCATCTCTAAGGGCAATGGCATTGCTCCCTACTCATTCATCTGCATGAGCTACTCTTGGCTTCCTTAAAAAGTCAAGAAAGCAATTTTTCTGCTTACTAGATTCATTGAGATCAATTGTGTGAGCCCCAACGTGGGACAAGGGTGTCTCCTTCATCACTTAAAAGTATTCATGAGGGTGGGTCACTACAGATGTTGGGGAGCAAGGGCTAGGATCACTTTTTAAAAAATCACCACTTGTGGCTGGCCCAGAGTGCGGTTGTACATCCTCCTCACCTCATAACGCAGCTACCAAGGAAGAGTGGTTTTCCTAAGAAGACATTGCTGGAGTTGACGTTCTTCTGTCCAAACAAACAAACAAAAACTAAATACACAAACCCCCAGAAACCCACAATACATACATGCTAAGGAAAAACTAACACCCTTCTGTCCACTCAGCAATAAGAAGGATCTCTTCCCACCTACCCTACCTACTTCTACCCCCAACCCCCTTCCCCATTAATGTGAGTAATGAATTAGCCTGGCCACAGGTGGTCACTGTAGGCTAATGGAAAATACCCAAGGGAGGGCAAAGCCCCCCATCAGATGCATGAATGTTTGCGAATGTTGACTGCCACTGCCCCACACACTGTGTCTTTATAGAATTCCCCTTTGCCCACCCCCTCCCTGTCTCCACCTGGACACAACTTGCTCAAAGGCTGGTGACTTGTGGGCCATTCATCTACAACCAAGTCCTGATGGAGCAAGAGGCCCATACCTAGGGGATGCAAGAACGACCCATTTCTAAAATGTTACCAGTCCCAGCCAATCTTATGGTGACATTACAGTTAAATTTCCCAATTGAAAACAAGCAAACAGACACTCAAACTGGTCCTGTAATTGTTGCTAGACTTTATGTGTTGTACAACTAAACATTGCTGTTTGAACAGTAACTGCTTGGCCTGTCTTATTTGTGCTCCTTGACCAAATCAGCCGTTATGTCATCTCACCCATGTGTGGAGGGTGAGACTCTCTTGGTAAGAAATAGCTACAGATATTAGAGATGAAAACACCTTGTGAGGTCAGTTCATGTTCAGTTGGCGTGAGGTCGGGCCTCAGTCATTATTTTCTAGTGTTTTATATCCAAAGTGAGTAATGGATGGGAGGTTGAGGTGGGAGGATGGCTTGAGCATGGGAGGTTGGAGGTGCAGTGAGCTGAGATCATACCACTGTGCTCCAGCCTGGGCAACAGAGCAAGACCCTGTCTCAAAAAAAAAAAAAAAAAAAAAAACAACAAAATGAGTGATGGAACTATCGCACCTGACCTTGAAGGATGCTGTGGAAAGCACAGCCTGTCTCCGGTGAAAATTATGCTTATTTCCATTCAGTTAACTTTCTGGCTTTCCCCTCCTTTTTCCTGAATGTGTAAGGACCAAGTCTATGAAAGGAGTGGACCTGGCTGGGCGTGGTGGCTCATGCCTGTAATCCCAGAACTTTGGGAGGCCAAGGCAGGAGGATCACTTGCGCCTAGGAGTTCAAGACCAGCCTGGGCAATACAACGAGACCCTGTCTCAAAAATAAATACATAAAAAATAAAATAAAAGGAGTGGACCCATCTTACCTAGATACCTGCTTATTTTACAGTGAATAAGGATTAAAACTTAAGCACTAGCTTGTATCTTTCTTGAACTTAAACCAACCCTTCCTCTCCTTAAGGTGCACACTCTTTATGGTAGCCAGCAAATAACACAATATTTCCTTATATATTATTTCTCTGAACGTGACAACTGTAGGCAGTTATGTTTGAGGCCTCAACATTCTGTAGGCTGAGTGCAAGGTACAGATGAATGGTGGGAAGTGGTTTGGAGGGGTCAGAGTTGGAGGAAGACGAGGCAGGAGGCTCTTGGAGTGATTGAAGTAAAATGATAAGGGCAGGAAGTAGAGTAGCATCATGACACTGAGATGGAGAGAAATGAAATGTGAGTTACAAAGCAGTTTGATGAACATAAAATGTCACAGCTGAAAGAAACCTGAGAGCTCTTCTATTCAATGCCTTCATACAGATACATGGAAACTGAAGTCCCGAGAACATAATAATCTTTGCCCAAGGTTGCTCTAGTAAGTGTATTTTGAAGTAAATTTTCTGAAATCAAGGTACATTTACAATTGATGGGATGTCAGTTTATTTGGCAACTTTTTTTTTCCTCGGTACATGAAAAATTGTTGCATCTTATACTTAATAGCATCTTAAATTCCATGAAATACAGTAGTCAAGAAGAGGTTTACATCTCTTTGAAGATCTTTTTAATCTCTTTGAAGATCTCTGATACTATTTGTGAAGTTTGTTTTTATTATTTGAAATAGGGTCTTGCTCTGCCGCCCAGGCTGGAGTGTGGTGGTGTGATCACCGCTCACTGCCATCCCCAGCTTCCATCTCCCTGGCTCAAGCGATCCTCCTGCCGCAGCCTCCTGAGTAGCTGGGACTACAGGTGTAAGCCACCACACCTGGCTAATTAAAAAAAAAAAAAATTCGGTAGAGACAAGGCTCACTATGTTGCCCAGGCTGGTTTTGAACCCCTGAGCTCAAGCGACCCTCCCGCCTGGGCCTCCCAAAGTGCTGGGATTACAGGCGTAAGCCACTGCGCCCGGCCTGTATTTGTGAAGCTTAAAGGAAATAAGAACATGTACAACATTTTAGTCCTCAAAGCAATTCCGGTATAACGTGTCCCACCCCATTCCCACCATCACCCTGGAGGAAGCAGGGCAGGCATGAAAGATAACCCAGAGACAAAGGCGCTTTCGATCCTGGAACTGGCAGGGACTCGATCCTGAAACTGGCAGGGACTCGCTCAAGGGCTTCTGGGCCTCCGCTGGTGGAAGAAAGTTCTGCGGGCCTAGGGAGGCGAGGAGTTGTTCTGGACCCTTTCTCTGAAAGGCAGCGGTTTCCTGGCCGGGCGAGGAGGGCACAGGGAAATCCTGGCTGGGGTTCTCGTGAGGGCTGCCTTTAATTTTCATTCCTAACAGGACCAACCCAAGTCCATACCTAAAGGCAGGGGGCTAATGGGGCAGGTGAGGTCGGGTGGCCACTCACCTATCACTCACCCCTTCTTGCTCTGGGGGGCGGAGCCAATTCTCAGGACCCGCCCCTTTATCCCCTTTCTCGGCGGGGGCCTCCACCCTGACCCCGCCCCCCGCCCTGCCTCGCCACGTGACCCGCTCTCGCTCCTCCTCCTCCTTACGTCATAATCTGCGCCCTCCCCCTCAAAGCCACGCCACAAGACTTGGCGCAGGTCCCGTCCCTTTCCATCTGCGGGGCGGCAGGAGGAGGCCCGAAGCAAGATGGCGGTGAATCAGAGCCACACCGAGAACCGCCGCGGGGTCCTCATCCCTAACGGTGAAAGGTGCCTTAGGGGAATCACGGCGTGCTGTCGGAGGAGAGGAGATGAAGGGGATAGACATCGCAGCTCGCAAGATCTCAGCGAGTCAGGGACTTTGCCGCCTTTTTTGGGCGCGGCGCTCTTAGCTCCGCCCCCGACCGTTGGGAGCTGGCGCCCACTCACTAGTGTTGCGGCATGTGGAGGTGGCGGAGGTCGGAACGTGTGGCCTCGCGCGTTTGAGGGGCGGGGGTGGGAAGGTGCCTCTTCATGGCGCAGGGCCGAGACGCGTGCCTCCTCAGGGCGGGGAGGGGATGCGAGCCACGTGTCTCCTTTTAAGAAAGGCAGGAGCTGACTGGTGCTGGTGAGCAGCCGGGGGCCCTCGGTGGCAGCGCGGCTGCCCTTGGGTGCCTGTGACTTTGTTTGATGAGGACAGGTACTGGGCGTATATCTCCCCCTACTCCCAGGAACAAAGTGTCGCCCTTTGGTAAGAGGGATGAGGAGGTGGAGTGTGGATTATTCTGGAAAGATCTCGAACTGTTGTGGGGCTTCTCCTTGGCTCTCAGAACTTTCCAAAGCCCTGTTTCCTCCTTGCTCCAACCAGGGAGATGTCTGCTTTTAAAAACAGAATATTGAAAAGATTGAGGCCAGGTGCAGTGGCTCATGCCTGTAATCCCAACACTTTGGAAAGCTGAAGTGGCCCAGGAGTTTGAGACAAGCCTGGGCAACACAGTGAGACCCCATCTCTACAAAAAGTAGAAAATTAGCGGGGCATGGTGGTGTGCACCCCATAATCCCAGCTGCTTGGGACGCTGTGGTAGGAGGATCGCTTGAACCCAGGAGTTCGGGCTGCAGTGAGCCCAGATTGTACCACTGCACTCTAGCCTGGGTGACAGAGCCAGATCCGGTCTTAAAATAAAAGATGGGACTGAACAGATGCCTGGGCAGAATGAAGCACTCTTGGTCGTGGGAAGCTGTGGGACTTACACCAGTTGCTTTGCTCCTTGTGGTGCCTGCTGCTGGCCCCTGAGCTCTCTGCTGGAGCAGACTCAGCCAGAAGGGTGCCCATCTCCACCTTCAAGGCAGACTTGTTCACTAAGGGCTGACTCCACTGCACTCCCTTCTTTACCCCACACGCCCCCTTTCCCGTTTCCCACACTCAAACTCAGTCTCCCCCGCTGTGCAGTTCTAAATTACGCTCCTTTCTGGGCTCTGACTTGCCCTCAATTTCCTTTTCTTCCACCTAGCGTTGAAACTCAAGCTGGATGATGTGCTTGGGACCAGCATACCAAGGTCAGTTTGAATGTAGTCAGGAAGATTGAGGTAGACATTACCAAATGTTGATACCCAAATCTTTTCTTCTATCTTTCCTTCCTCCAGAAAGTTTTCTTGACAGATTTATATGGGCCTTAGAGGTTGTATGTCCTCACGTGCTTCCTATGTACCTCTGCTGCTTTGTTACATTTTGTGGTAGATGATTGCTCACCACTCTGACAGTGGTGTCCCCGAGCGCACTTACTGGGAGCCATTTGAGCATTTGTCATTCCAAGGTGTGAAGCCATTTCTTTTCTTTTTTTTTTTTTTTTAAAGATATTTTTATTTCTCCAAATTTGTTATTTATTAGGAGTGACTGAAATAAAAAATATAATTGGGTCCCATCATCATCATCATCGAAATGGCTTTAAGAGAAAACTGGTCAGATGAATATTATTGCTTCCCATTTCCAACCAATAAATAGTTGCCACTGATAAATTGACAGCGAGGAGTCTGTCAAGAATGCTCAAGATAGCTGGGTGCGGTGGCTCACGTCTGTAATCCCAGCACTTTGGGAGGCCGAGGCGGGTGGATCACAACGTCAGGAGTTCAGGACCAGCCTGACCAATATGGTGAAACCCCGTCTCTACTAAAAATACAAAAAAAAAAAAAAAAAAAAAGCCAGGAATGGTGGCAGGTGCCTGTAGTCACAGCTACTCAGGAGGCTGAGGCAGGAGAGTTGCTTGACCCCAAAAGGTGGAGGTTGCAGTGAGCCGAGATTGTGCCACTGCATTCCACCCTGGGCAATAGAGGGAGACTCCATCTCAAAAAAAAAAAAAAAAAAAAAAAAGAATGCTGAAGATATGTTATATAATACAACATGCCTGTTCACAGAGGGAAAAATCCTAGGAAATAACTTACGTGTACTTCTTGGTTTTATCATACAAGAGAAGCACAAAAGCACCACCCATGCCTCTGAGAACATTGGACCATGCACCCTTGAAGAAAGCTTTTGCCTCCTTCATCATGAGTAATCTTCCTCCAGCAGTCAAGTGTGCCTGTGTACATGATATCAGTTCCTTTGCATCCTGACTGCATCATCATGCAGCGGCGAACGGTGTTAAATGGATAGGAAGTCAACCCAGCAACGGCAGTGACAGTCTGTGCATCATCCAGCTGATGACGATGTGAGTGTCCTTGGGATCTGGAAGCTTTCCCTTTGCAGTGTCATAGATACTGAAGTAGGCAGCAAGCAGCTCGATAGATAATACCCTGCACAGACATGTTAAAGCCTTGGTACAGTCTCTTAATCTCATCAGATTTGTAGATCTTAACCAGGCGGTCACCGAAGACTTGGAATTCCCTTTCAGCTCTAGCTTTGCCCACATCAGCTGCTAGACGAGTATGGGCAAAATCAAGAGGGTACACAAAACACAAGGACATGGCCCCAGTGGTACTGCCTGATGCTAGATTCCCTGCAAAGTAGCACCAAAACTGGGACCTCTTGTCCATACCACCCAGGAAGAGCCTCTTGTATTTATCTTTGAAGGCGAAGTTAAGAGCCTGGGTGGGGGAAGTATCTGATGACATTGACCAGGTTACTGCACCAAAAGGACAGGACTCCCTGCTCCTTGGGAATATAGACCATGCAGTCTATAATGCCCTTGTATTGCTTATCTGCAGTGATCTGCTTGCTGGCATGCTGCACCTGTAGCAGCAGCTTGACCCACTCGATGGGTGTTACTGCCGTCTTGGAGATGGCTGTGGCCCCTCCACCTGCCAGGGAGTCCTTGGCGAAGGACACAGCGGCATCCGTCATATTGAAAAGAGGAGGCAGGCTGCTGTGGGATGGGACTGGTCTGGGAACTGGCTTTGACTCTGGGACTGCCTGTGAAGCCATTTCTAATTTGGTGTTTGGGTGTCTTCTCGCTTCGGCTGTGGGTGTCTCTCTACTTTGCTGCTTGTGTGTTGGAGGAAGGGAAGGAAGCATGTTTTAAAAAACAAAACACAGAAACGCTGATTTTTGTGGTCCTTTGAATTACGGTCATGGGATCCATTTTGTGCTCCTGAATACTTAATAGCATTTATTGAATACTTAAATATTTCAAGTACTGTTCTTAGTTCCAAGAGCTTTATACTGTAGTTAAAACCACTCTATCGGCCAGGCATGGTGGCTCACGCCTGTAATCCCGCACTTTGGGAGGCCATGGCCAGTGGATACATGAGACTAGGAGTTCAAGACCAGCCTGGCCGACATGGTGAAACCCCCACCTCTAGTAAAAATATGAAAAATTAGCTGGGCATGGTGGTGCACGTCTGTAATCCCGGTGACTCAGGAGGCTGAGGCATGAGAATTGCTTGAGCCTGGGAGGCAGAGGGGAGGTTATAGTGAGCTGAGATCGTGACACTACACTCCAGCCTGGGTAACAGGGTGAGCTCAAAGTATAATAAAACAAAAAAAACTCAGTCTATCTACAGTGAAGATCAGTACTGTTTCCCTCATTTCACAGGTGGGAAAACAAAAAGAAGTAATTTGCTTAAAGTGCGTGTGGGAGAGCTTGAATTTAGATTTGAACTTAGGTACTGTGCATTAACTCCTCTACTCCAGCTGTCCCTCAAAAAAGAAAAGGATTCTTTCTCTGTTTTCTTCTCACCAAAGAAGGACCTATTAGTACCCTAGCTTCCTGGATAGAAACTAAAGAACCAGAGATAGTGGTGCACATTTGTAGTCCCACCTATTCGAGAGGCTGAGGTGGGAGGATTACTTGAGGCCAGGAGTTCAAGACCACACTGAGCAAGATACTGGGACCTCATCTCACAAAATAAAATTTAAAAAAAGAAAGAAAAATGAAACTATAGCCAGGCATGGTGGCACATGCCTGTAATCCCAGCTACTTGGGAGGCTGAGGAAGGGGAATCGCTTGAACCCAAGGAGGCAGAGGTTGCAGTGAGACGAGATCACACCATTGCACTCCAGCCTGGGCAACAAGAGCGAAACTCCATCCAAAAAAAAAAAAAAAAAAGTACCAGCTTATGAGGTAATTAGATTGGTTCTCTCCAGAGGTAACCTGCCAAGAAGAGATGCTATAGATGTTACTGTTATACTGTAAAACCTTGTGAAATCAGATTACTTTAAAATGATGTATTACAAAGTTATGGAAAAAAGCAGTTGTGACTATGGAAGCCCAAGGCTTATATCCCAGCTCTGTCTTACGCTAAATGTGGGTACAGTGTTTCCACTCTTTGTAAAATGGGAGCTAATATCCTCCAACCTGTGTGCCTGACATGGTGGTTAAAAGGATTAAGCAAAACAATAGTTTGTAATTTATTCTGTCAGAGCAAACTGCTGGTAAATAAAAGGGAGTAAGTTGATTAAAAATACATTTTTTAAAAAAATAAGAAAAATCCTAATAAAACAAGTTTGTACTTTATAATTGTATACAAATAAAAGATGTTATTAAAAAAAGAAACCTAAAAAAAAGAGTGGGAGAAGATTGATTCTATGAGGAGTCTTCAAAACGATCATGGAAAATATGAGTTACGAAGAAACTATGCATGGATTCCAGATTATTTTTCCACCAAAATTAACTCATACTAACTTGTTATAATATAACTGAACAGGATTTAGTTTGAGGCACTAAGAAAAATAAGACATCAATTTGAAAAAGGGCTATCAGAGCAACATGAATACTGCTAAAATTGAAGGAAGAACAAACATCAAATTTATGGTAAAACTTGGGTGGAAGAATGGTGAAACCATTGATGCTTTAGGAAAAGTTTATGGGGAAATGGCCCAAATAAATCAGCAGTTTACAAATGGATAATGTAGTAAGAAGGGACAAGAGGCCAGGTGCAATGGCTCGCGCCTATAATCCCAGCACTTTGGGAGGCTGAGGCAGGTGGATCACTTAAGGTCAGGAGTTTGAGACCAGCTGACCAACATGGTGAAACCCTGTCTCGACTAAGAATACGTAAAATTAGCCAGGCGTGGTGGCACATGCCTGTAATCCCAGCTACTTGGGAGACTGAGGCAGGAGAATTGTGGGAACCCGGGAGGTGGAGGTTGCAGTGAGCTGAGATCACATGACTGCACTCCAGCCTGGGCAACACAGCAAGACTCCATATCAAAATAAGTAAATAAATAAAATTAAAAAAGAAGGGACAAGGGGTGGGTGCAATGGCTGATGCCTGTAATTCCAGAACTTTGGGAGGCTGAGGTGGGTGGATCACTTGAACCCAGGAGTATTTAAGACCAGCTTGGGCAACATGGTAAAACCCTATCTCTACTAAAAACACAAAAAAATAGTTCAATGTGGTGGCATGTGCCTATAGTCCTAGCTACTTGGGAGGCTGAGGTGGGAGAATCACTTGAACCTGGGAGGTGGAGGTTGCAGTGAGCTGAGATTGTGCCACTGCACTCCAGTCTTGGTTGACAGAGTGAGACCCTGTCTCAGAAAAGAGAAGGGACAAGATTATGTTAAATACAAAGCCTGGGTGGGGCACAGTGGCTCACAGTTGTAATCCCAGCACTTTGGGAAGCCAAAGTGGGTGTATTGCCTGAGGTCAGGAGTTCCAGACCAGCTTGGCCAACGTGGGGTAACCCCATCTCTACTGAAAATATAAAAAATTAGCTGGGTGTGGTGGTGGCACCTGTAATCCCAGCTACTCGGGAGGCCGAAGCAGGAGAATCGTTTGAACCTGAGAGGCAGAGGTTGCAGTGAGCCGAGATCACACATTCCAGCCTGGGCAACAAGAGCAAAACTCCATCTCAAAAAATAAATAGGCTGGGTGTGGTGGCTTATGCCTGTAATCTCAGCATTTTGGGAAGCCAAGGTGGGCAGATCACAAAGTCAGGAGTTCGAGACCAGCCTGACCAACATGATGAAACCTCGTCTCTATGAAAAATAAAAAAATTAGCCAGGCGTGGTGGTATGTGCCTATAATCCCAGCTACTCAGGAGGCTGAGGCAGGATAATTGCTTGAACCCAGGAGGCGGAGGTTGCGGTGAGCCAAGATCGCACCACTGCATTTCAGCCTGGGCAACAGAGTAAGACTCTATCTTAGATAAATAAATAAATAGGCCGGGCATGGTGGCTCACACCTGTAATCCCAGCACTTTGGGAGGTCTAGGCAGGCGGATCACCTGAGGTCAGGAGTTCGAGACCAGACTGGCCAACATGATGAAACCCCGTCTCTACTAAAAATACAAAAATTAGTTGGGCATGGTGGTGGGTGCCTGTAATCCCAGCTACTCAGGAGGCTGAGGCAGGAGAATTGCTTGAACTCAGGAGGCAGAGGTTGCAGTGAGTGGAGATCTCGCCACTGCATTCCAGCCTGGGTGACACTCCTGAGTGAGACTCCGTCTCAAAAAAATAAAATAAATAAATAAATAGATGAAGCCTGTAGTGGCAGACCATCCACATTAATTTGTGAGAAAAAAATTCATCTTGTTCGTGCCCTAAATGAAGAGAATCATTATCAACAGCAGAAACAATAGCCAATACTGTACAGATATCATTTGCTTCAGTTTACAGAATTAAAGTTGAGCAAACTTTCCATTCAATGGGGGCCAAAACTATAGTGCCCAGATCAGCTGCAGGCAAGAGCAGAACTTTCAGTGGAAATTTTAAATATGTGGGATCAAGATCCTGAAGCATTTCTTCAAATAATTGTAACTGGAAATGAAACATGGCTTTACCAGTATGATCCTGAAGATAAAGCACTGTCAAAACAATGGCTACAAAGATGTGGAAGTGGTCCACTCAAAGCAAAAGTGGACAGACAGGTCAAGAGCAAAAGTCACGGCAACAGTTTTTTGAGATGCTCAAGGCATTTTCCTTATTGACATTCTGGAGGGCCAAAGAACGGTAATATCTACTTTGTTTTAAGAAAATTAGCCAAAGCTTTACCAAAAAAAACACCCAGGAAAGCTTTACTAGAGAGTCCTTCTCCACCATAACAATGCTCCTATTCACTGTTCTCATGAAACAAGGGCAATTTTGCAAGGGTTTTGATGGGAAATCATTAGGCATTCACGGATCATTAGGTTCCTTCTGACTTACTTTGTTTCCTAATCTTTTTTTTTTTTGAGACGGAGTCTTGCATTGTTGCTTGGGCTAGAGTGCTGTGGCATAATCTCAGCTCACTGCAACCTCTGCTTTCCAGGTTCAAGCGATTCTCCTGCCTC